CTGAAGAGATTTCAAAAGAAAAACTGAGCATCATACACGTAGAATAGAGTCAGCCTAAGTATTATCAATAACCAAGGCTATGGAGGTTGTATGAAATTGATTTGGTAAAGCAAAATGGTTGGATCCTCTTAGGAATACATAATGTGTCCTTATGCTCTTGCCTCTGATTGGAAGGAATATGTCAAACACTGAAGACCCTGATGATCTTGCCTGTCTAGGAGTTGAAAATTGTGGTGGTGTCCAACATAAATGATGAAAAACATGAGATACAGCAACAGAAAATTAAGGAAAGCTACAGCAATTAATTAGTTAATTAATTCCCTTTGTACTACTGGTCTTTTGCACTTGTACGCAGTTATACAATAGTCTACATTGTTCCCTTCATTTTTTTCTCTGACCCTTTTGTTCCTTTGATTCTGTACCAAGAGTGTGTGTCACATTCATCTGCCCTTTCAACTCTCTTCCCACTTTTGAGAGTGCAAGTTATTCCATGCCTTATTCTTACGCAGTGGGATCTTCTCAGCGTTAGTTCAGACACAGGTGGGAAAGGATTTGGTAGCTCTTTCTTCTGTCCGTCACTTCAGCTTTTTATTGGCTGTGCTGGTTTATCCACCAGCCCCTGCCCTTTCAGGCCGCACTGTGATCTGAAAAATGCTCTTTCAGCTCAGCCTTGATGAGCAGCCCCTGGGCCCAGCTCCTCTTGAGCTTATCAGAAACACTGTTTGCTCCCAGAAACTTGCACTGCCTAATGAGATTCTGGATTTTTTATGAACAGCCTTGGAAACCATTTTTCTTGCCTGAATGGCATAACATCCTTACTCTCACACTTTCAAAGAAAGGGTGCCGGCCCAAAGCGTGGGCAGGATGGAACATTGTTATGACTAAGGCCTGCTCACTTGTGGCCTATAAACAGCGGTCCAAAATGAGACCCTTGGAGCGCTCCTGTGCCGCAGCAGCTGCGACCAGCAACTGCCCTCTGAACCAGCAAACTCTCCTTTGCTGCTCTTGGAGATCACCAAATAACGATGGGTCCTGGGCTGATACCCCCACTCCTCAAAGCCCCTTTGCCCATTGCGGAGATGCAAAGGCATCCAAAGTGAGTATTTTGTTAGCTTCAAGGTATCAGAATAATCAGCCGACCCCAGGTGCGGGAAGAAATGATGATGTCTGGCTCCAGATCAGAAGCTTGAAGGATAGCTTTATTAAAACTATACTATATTACATTAATATACTATTTAAAGAGAGACTATCCTATTCTACATACTTACTTCTTACTTACCTAGCAACTGACAAACTCATGACTCTCTGCTGAGAGGTTGAGTCGAGACACAGCTGGATCCAATTGCTCATTGAACCCAAACAACCTTCACCAGAACCCAATCCAGCAATCACTTCAGGTAAACAATCTCCATACCAAATTCCACGTGGAGAAAACAAAGAAGCAGAGATAAAGATTGTTTTCTCTTCTCTCTGTGCTTCTCCTGAAAGACAAAATTACGTCTCTCTGTCTAGGGAATGTGAATGTCACATTGAGGGGAATTTTTCATGAGTACCTTGCACTGACTTTTCATGTCTGTGTGTGCAGACATAAAGAGTCAGTGCATACAAGTGTGCATAGCTATGGCAAAACAAGAGAAATGCTGCTCTCTTGGGTGTTTAAGTACCTTAGGTATCTAAGTAAGTTAGGCCTGTAAGTAACTTTTATTTAAGTTATAAGCTATGTTAAATGCTGTTGAGTGTTAATTATTTGCTAAATTGTTACGTTTAAGGTACAATTTAAGTTATGTTAAATGCTGTTCAGTGTTGTTCCATTAATAAATCGTCAAGTTTAAGGTACAAGTAAAGTTTAAGTACTCTTAAGTTTGTGTGCTATTAAGTTTTTAGGCTGTTTTTCTTTTTGTCCTTGCCCTTTCTGTCTTTTTATCACACACAGCTAAACACACACACACACATAGATAGTACTCGGTTAATTTCTGTTTTTGGTTGAGTGGATTTTGTTTGTTTCTTTTTTTACCCTTGGTATGCCTTAACCATCTAGCAATTAGTAGAGTGAATCTTGTAAATAACCTTTGTCGTGCTGTTGCTTAGCATTAAATCTGATTTTTATTGATACCCTTGCTGGTGATTTTTTAAGCATCTCAACTTTCATAATGCTGAATAGTGAGGATTTCTATTCAGGTCTCCTTTTTTCCTTGAAGAATAAGTGATCTGGGAATCCATGAGTGTAATATGTACTTGTAGACAGACCCTTTCTGTGGCTGTGGTAAAAACAGTGATTCGTTGACAACTCCCTTAAGTAGAAATTTCCTTCATTTTTTGAGCAACTGACATTGATTACTCCTGGACTTTCACAAACACATATATGCTGTCATAGCTGAACTGACATTTCTGCCTATCCTGCATTTTAGGTTGATTCAACATGTATTTACATATGTGTGCAACTACTTGAAGATAAGAGAATTTTTGTTTTTCAACTCTGAGCTTAGTGTAGTGTGCCATTCCATTTCATAGGATAGATGAAAATAATTCAAAAGCTAAGTGCAGGTATCATAATTTTAATTTCCCTTCATAAAAGAAAGATACTGTTCTAAGAGATTTTACTGCATAAGTAAAAGGTGCAAGAAGAGCTCAGTGAATTGGCCTGAATAAACAACAAAATTTGGCTTCTGTAAGACTCTTGCAACCTGAAGGCCTGCGTAACACTTGCATTTCCATATCTCAACAAACTAAGCTCCTCTGAGATGAAAAAAGAAGGAATTTTGGTGAAGAAACTATCAGTTTAATAGATGTGTATTTTCATGTAAGATGCTATCCAGTTAAATGTTACATTCCTGCTCTTCATTTCAATATGCACATGCAGAGCTAATAAGGGAACATCATATACTGTGCCCAGCTGCCAACTGTACATGTGCTACTAATTATTAAATCATGTTCTGATGGGCATTGAAAGCAGAGCCCATCAGATGTTGTCCAGAATTTCCATTATGAAAATTCCAGCTGTGTTTATGGGAATGCAAATCAGAGAAGGATCCTGTAGTGATCTCTCATGTAGATGTTTGCATTTCTTGCCTTGAGCTAAGGACTCTAAACAAATTACTGTTTTTTCACTTGGAAAAGACTATGCTTTAGAAAAGAAGTGGGGACTACTCTCTTTCTTTGAATTGCTCACTGATGACTTTTTTCATCATTAAATTACAGTAATACAAAAAAGTGCTTTTAACAGAAATGGGCTTTGTTTCAAATGCTGGCCTCATTGCTTTGTGTTACATGTGAGCATTTCCTAGAAAATATTGTCCTGGAGTCCTGGATGCTCAATGGAAAGAGGTACAGGACAAGATGATTTGCATGATGTCCTTCTGTCAGTATTAGAGCAGGATGAGCTTTGAGTTCCATTTTTTTCCTGATTTGATTCAATGTTCCAGACTTGAATCAAGCTGCCATTGCAGTTACATGGCATTGGTGTGTGTGTGTGGAAATAGTTCAACGTTTGGTTTGATTCCATGACATTCAAACCTTTTTCAGGTTGCAAACTGGCAGGTTTAAGGAGGGGGAAAACAAATCACCTTTAGATTACAAACAGAAGAGAAAAAAGAGAAAATGCCTGCTCTCAGACAAGATGAATGTCTTCAAAGGATATTAATCCCAGTAATTGTAATTTTCCTACTAATACAGGTGTTGCTATTTTCTTTCCCAGAACAAATTGCTATCAAACTTATCTTAGAATTAATAGGGATTTAGTAGATGATGTATATAATTCATTTATTCATATGGCCATAGTTAGTTAGGAGAGTAGTTACAGACAAGAAAGGTCTTCCAGACTGAGCCTATGAAGTGTTTTCCAATATTTCTGTCGGCTTTCCCTCTTAGATGCCCAAATATTGATTTAATTAAAAAGAAAGAAAGCTTAGGAGGGAAGATGTACTTAAAGAAGTGGGAAAATAGCACAGGAGCTGCTTTTGACTCTCATATGCATGAGGAATGTGAAATAATGGCACGCAAACCAAACTGTGTGGTTGCAGCTGTTCAGGGTGTCCCTGCTGAGCAGCCGTGTGCCCCCGAGCTCAGCCAGGAGCAGGGCAGCACACACGGATTGTGGGTCGAGCACAGCCCAGGTGTTTTGCTTGTTGGTGTGGTCTGGGAGCTCTGAGGTTTGTTCCTGAAGGTTGGTGAGGGGAGAGCAGGGAAGGGCAGAGGATGGACCAGCCCTCCCAACACAGGTGTCTCATGGTGCTGGGCTGGGAACCAGCATGGTGACACTGCGGGGTGATGATAATGGCATGTCCGAGTAGCATTGCCATGTGCTGAATTTCTACCATCCCTGTTAACTGGCATAAAAAATGCTCCTGCAAGGCACTTCTGTCACCTGTGGCACAGTTTATGTCATGAGGGGAAGGGCGACTCCAGCACAAATTATCCTTTGGCTTGGTATTTTTTGATTTGTAAAATAAAACAATTGAGGCACAGAGTCAGATCAATTACAGGTACATTGCTTTAAACAGATTGACAGCATCCAAACCAGATACATGGAATCAGGATGGGCTGAGTCAACATAAGGCTCAAGTCAAGTATGTTTCTGTGACTGTTGCTTCAAAAGTAGCTGAAAAGGATCATGAAATTCCAGTTGTGATGTAACAATAATGCAGTGACACAGATCACTATTTCAGCAGAGGAGGAATCTCAAAAGGCCATGTCATTCTTTCCTCAACCATGCTGGAATATTATAGGCACATTTAAAATCAACAAATGGTTTTCTGGAGTACTATCAGTGTCATAAATGGTCACTGAGGTATTCCGATAATATTGGGACTTCCTTAGAATCCTAATTAGGAGATTTTAGTAACCAGAAACAACATTCAAGCCTTATATTCACAAATGAAATCTGATCATGCCTGTGCTTAAACGGGTCTGTTCTATTTGTATCAGGTGTTGTAACGTAAAGCATTCCAAGACATTGCATTCTAGTAATTCTTGGCTGTGTTTTTCTGATGTATTAGCTAAACTGTGGTGATCTTCTGAACAAAGTACAGTAGATAGTAAAGAATTTAGATAAGTTTTCATAACAAGATTAAAGACCAGGTAAAGCAAATTTTCACTTCTTCATGATTCCACATCAAGGCCCTAATCTACTCATTCCAGCATCTCTTATTTATGCCTCTGATGATTTCAATTTAATTGACTTGGATCTAAACTAGAAAGTCCAGGCTAAGCCACTGTCTTTTACATGGATGAAGTTCTGACACGACACTTAATGTGTTGCCAAATCCTCGCTGGCAACTCTTGAAATTTTGGATTGCTCCAAAATAAGACGAATGTGTGTGCTGTAGAACAGGCAGCTAATAGAGTTTCACAGATAGATTCCTCAATGCTCAAGGATAAAAACTCACTGTATAGGAGTAGAAGCAAAGAAATAAAATATATGATGTAAAGGATAAGGAAGGAAAAGACTGACTTGATGGCTTTCATATGGGCCTCTAAGCTGGGGTCCCCAAAGCCACTTGCATTATTTTGCATGTGTCTAGTGTGTATCCACAGAGACCAAATCAGCAGGATATTTGAAACAACAGACAATATTAAAGGCAAAGCTGTACTTGCATTCCAGAGATTCTTCAATAAAGTCAATCTGTCATTCCATGTGGTTCTCCTTGCTGAAGAGTTTGTCATGGACAAAGGAGCAGTGAAGTTCTCGTGCACTCTGTAGACATCCCAAGCAAAGGGAATTGCAGCAGTGAAGGAGCAGAGCCATGATGTGAGCAGCATCCAGGGCACCAGCCTGGCAATTCTTAGCTTCAGCCAGATGAAGAAATGCTGTGTAAAACTGGCAACCTTGATACAATAGAAGACACTAAGCCAGGCTCCAAACCAGAGGCTGGAGTAGCTAAAAAATATATAGCCTGGATTGAAAACAAAAGATATATCTTCTTTAAAATAGGAGTGTTCACGCAATATATTAATGAACAAATACAGTATATTCCAGAAATGGAAAATGAATCTAGATGAACTCAGCGAGATCACAATCATATCATATGGGGGCCATGTCTTGCTCCCAATGCAGCTCGATGAACTGGCAGCCAAGATAATTCCATTTCCTAGAACTCCTGCCAGGAATGCAATTATAGCAACTGACAGAAAGAGGACAGCAAAAGGTGTCATTATTGCAACTCAAGAGCTTGCAACTATTACCCAGCTGCTCCTGGGCTCCTGAGAACCTCAGATCTGCCATGCACTGCCAATTCCAAGGCGCTGTTATGGGCAATGCTCACCTATTTATCTCAGGGGCAGAAATATCCTAATGTCATTTAATATTTGTGCTATTTTAGATCTTGTTTTTGGGGTTGCTAGCTCAGCTGATTTGTCTAAGCATGCAAATTGGGTCAAGATTCAATAGCATAGTTTTCATTTTGGTGAAAGGATTTGCATTGGAAGGGTTATGGAGCAGGTGAACTGTGGTGTTTACAAATATGGATTTCCATTCCAGTGTCTGAAGTCCTGCTTTACATGACTAGATTTGTTTTTTCTATGTGATGCCTTAATGTCTCCCTGTCTTGCACTGTTATCTCTTCATGGTGTCTGAGACATACATGCCATGGCCTCTTCTAATAGTGGGGTTGTTCTTCTCTTTGTCAGATAGTTTCAAATTTCTGCTGCAGAGAGGATTATCATGCTTTTCTTTTGTGTGTGGAGATATTTAAGCACTATAATTTTCCAGTAGAACACAGGGATTTAGTAGACTGTGTATAACATGTGTGTTAATGTTAATTTTATAAATATGAGAATAGTTAGTTGTCTGGTCAGGTGTAGACAGAAAGGTTTTCCAGAAGACTGAGCCTATGATGCATTTTCCAATATTTTGGTTTGCTTTCCCTCTTAGATTTCCAAATGTAAGCTAATGAACTGGTAAGTATTTGTTTTAATTTTATGGGAAGGAAGCTTTGGAGGGAAGATGTATTTAAAGAAGTGGGAAAATAGCACATGCTTTTGACTCTGGTGTGCATGAGGAATGCGAAATAATGGCGCGCAAACCAAACTGTGTGGTTGCAGCTGTTCAGGGTGTCCCTGCTGAGCAGCCGTGTGCCCCCGAGCTCAGCCAGGAGCAGGGCAGCACACACGGATTGTGGGTCGAGCACAGCCCAGGTGTTTTGCTTGTTGGTGTGGTCTGGGAGCTCTGAGGTTTGTTCCTGAAGGCTGGTGAGGGGAGAGCAGGGAAGGGCAGAGGATGGACCAGCCCTCCCAACACAGGTGTCTCATGGTGCTGGGCTGGGAACCAGCATGGTGACACTGCGGGGTGATGATAATGGCATGTCCGAGTAGCATTGCCATGTGCTGAATTTCTACCATCCCTGTTAACTGGCATAAAAAATACTCCTGCACGACATTTCTGTCACCTGTGGCACAGTTTATGTCATGAGAGAAAGGAATACTCCATCTCAAGTTGCCCTTTGACTTAGCATTTTTTAATTTGTAAAATAAAACAATTCAGGCGCAGACTCAGATCAATTACAGGTAGATTGCTTTAAACAGATTGACAGCATCCAAACCAGATACATGGAATCAGGATGGGCTGAGTCAACATAAGGCTTAAATGATGTATGTTTCTGTGACAGTTGCTTTAAAAGTGTGTAAAATGTCACTACAGCTGGAAAGTGCCATGAAGCTCCAGTTGTGATGTAACAATAATGCAGTGACACAGACCACTTTTTCAGCAAAAGGAGGAGTCTCAAAACGCTGTGTCATTCTTTCCTCAGCCCTGCTGGAATGTTATAGGCACCTTTAGATCACCAAATATTTTACTAGAGTTCAATCAGTGTCAAAACTGATCAATGTGATATTCTGAAAATATTGGGACTTCCTTAGAATCCTCCTTAGGCGGTTTTAGTAACCATAAACAGCATTCAAGACTTTTATTAACAAATAAAATGTGTCCATGCCTGTGCTTAAACAGGTCTATTCTATTTGTATAATGAATTGTAATGTAAAGCATCCCAAGAGACTACTTTCTAGTCAGTCTTGGCTGTGTTTTTCTGATGTCTTAGGGAAACTGGTGATTCCCAATAAATTTACAGCAGATAGTTGAGAAAATACAGATTTTTTCCTGACCAGAATCACATCCAAGTAAAGCGAATTCCCACCTTCCTATTGATTACATATCAAGGCCCTAAACTCTTCATTCCAGCATCTCTTACTGATACCTCTGATGATTTCAATTTAATTGATTTGGATCTAAACTAGAAAGTCCAGGCTAAGTCACTGTCTTTTACACGGATGCAGTTCTAACATGACACTTAATGTGTTGCCAAATCCTCGCTGGCAACTCTTGAAATTTTGGATTGCTCCAAAGTAAGACGAATGTGTGTGCTGTAGGGCAGGCAGCCATTAAAACTGCAGAGAGTAAATCTCCACTGCTTAAAGGTAAAAAAGCATTGAATACAATGATAAGCACACAAATAAAAAATATGATGTAAAGGATAAGGAAGGAAAAGACTGACTTGATGGCTTTCATATGAGCCTCTAAGCTGGGATCCCCAAAGCCACTTGCATTATTTTGCATGTGTCTAGTGTGTATCCACAGAGACCGAATCAGCAGGATATTTGAAACAACAGACAACATTAAAGGCAGACCTATACTGGCATTACAGAGGATAATTAATAAATCCAATCTGTCATTCCATGTGGTTCTCCTTGCTGAAGAGTTTGTCATGGACAAAGGAGCAGTGAAGTTCTCGTGCACACTGTAGACATCCCAGGCAAAGGGAATTGCAGCAGCGAAGGAGCAGAGCCATGATGTGAGCAGCATCCAGGGCACCAGCCTGGCAATTCTTAGCTTCAGCCAGATGAAGAAATGCTGTGTAAAACTGGCAACCTTGATACAATAGAAGACACTAAGCCAGGCTCCAAACCAGAGGCTGGAGTAGCTCAGAAGCGTAAAAATTACCTTGGTAAGTGTTAGCAGGTTTTCTTTATAAAAGAAGGGTTCACAAAATATAATTATTAAGAAATCCAGTGTAGCCCATAACTGAAAAATCAATCTAGATGAACTCAGCGAGATCACAATCATATCATATGGGGGCCATGTCTTGCTCCCAATGCAGCTCGATGAACTGGCAGCCAAGATAATTCCATTTCCTAGAATTCCTGCCAGGGATTCAATTATAGCAACTGACAGAAAGAGGACAGCAAAAGGTGTCATCATTGCAACTCAAGAGCTTGCAACTATTACCCAGCTTCTCCTGGGCTCCTGAGAACCTCAGATCTGCCATGCACTGCCAATTCCAAGGCGCTGTTATGGGCAATGCTCACCTATTTATCTCAGGGGCAGAAATATCCTAATGTCATTTAATATTTGTGCTATTTTAGATCTTGTTTTTGGGGTTGCTAGCTCAGCTGATTTGTCTAAGCATGCAAATTGGGTCAAGATTCAATAGCATAGTTTTCATTTTGGTGAAAGGATTTGCATTGGAAGGGTTATGGAGCAGGTGAACTGTGGTGTTTACAAATATGGATTTCCATTCCAGTGTCTGAAGTCCTGCTTTACATGACTAGATTTGTTTTTCTCTATGTGATGCCTTAATGTCTCCCTGTCTTGCACTGTTATCTCTTCATGGTTTCTGAGACATACATGCCATGGCCTCTTCTAATAGTGGTGTTGTTCTTCTCTTTGTCAGATATTTTCAAATTTCTGCTGCAGAGAGGATTATCATGCTTTTCTTTTGTGTATGGAAAATTTCAAGCAGTATAATTTTCCTTGCATGTTTGCTCTGAATGTCCCAATGGAGAACAATAAATTTCTGTGGGACAATCAGAACAGAGAAATGGAAATAATTTTACAGAGTACCTCACTGGTCCATTATTCACGAGCCTCCAAAAATAGATGTGGAATTTGCCTAACAAATTTAAGATCTGGGAATATACAACATTACATACCGGAGCAATGGCACATGTGTCAATTGAGGCACAATTTTGTTTCCATATTCCATATGGAATATACATGCTTTTGAAATTCTGTTATATGTGGTAAAAGAAGTGAATTCAAACACTTTCCGCATCCAAGAAGATATAGGTCTTCTAAATAAGTGAAGAGGCTTGGATTAATTGAAAAGCTTTGGAATTCACATCTTATCTGTAGCCCAGAATACAGAAGGAAACACATAAAGGCTCTTCACAAATGCTGTGACACAAGTAGCTGTCAGTAGTACAGTAAGCTGTGGGCAGTGACCAAATGAGAAATTTTGAGATGTTTTCAAGGTTGTTTCTTTGAGTTTTTTCAAATTTCCTATTGCTTAATATAAATTATTTACTTTAGTATTAATGCAAAATCTTTTTCTGTTCTCATTAAAAATATTATTAATAATTAATTTTAGTGAGAGCAACATGATTGCATATGCTTCACTATTTTTTTTAAACTGTTCTTACCACTTTGTGACACTGTGATTAGAGGCCTCACTCTATGTTTAATTTTGTATACTACATGCTCTGAATGGCTTTCTCACTATCACATCTGCAAAGTTCTTTGTTGAAATTCAGTTGAAATTGCCAATTTCCTTCTTGTCAAAACTTGCAAACTATTCACGTATTCTTCTGGTTTTATATGTTTAACAAATGGGTTCAAAACTCAGAGAAGCTATTCCTTTGGAGGTTTTTAAAACAGTGTAGAAGATTCTGCTTCCAAATTTGCAGGTGTACCTGTATGAGTGTTTTTGAAGTTGTCACACTTATACGATTTTTGGCACCAAAAACTTTTGAAAAGCAGTTACTTTCTCATCTCCTTTTAGAATTTCACTTTCAACTTGAAGAAATAAAAAAGTGTCTTTGGTTTTTTGACAGGAACTGCTGTGTAGCATGCTAGTGACAGACACTTCCAATAGAAAAAGGCGAGCAAATATTTATCATTTCCCTTTCAGTAAAAGAAAGCTGAGTAGCTGCTGTTTCAATTCAAGTCATTAAATTCAGATCTTTTAAAGCTCACTCATGGAATCACAGAATCACAAAATGGTTTGGGTTGAAAGGGTCTTTAAAGACCATCCCCCAGTTCCAACGCCCTGCCATAGGCAGGGACACCTTCCTGTAGACCAGGCAACTCACAGCCCCCTTCAGCATTGAGCCTGAGGCTCTTGCCACAAGATAACCATGCCTGTATGATATGTGTGGGGTTTATGGGCAAGGCGCTGGTAGTGGGGAGGCTGCAGGGGTGGTTTGTCCAAGAAGAGACCAGAAGTTGCCTCTGTGTCGCACAGAACCAGTCCCAGCTTCCTCAAAAGGGACCCCGCACTGGCCAAGGATCTGCCCACCAGTGATGCCAGTGACATCTCTGTGGCAACTCATTTAAAGAATAGTAAATGAAGCAGTCCCTGCTCTGGTGCCATTTGTAGCAGTGGGGAACAAAGTGACACGGCCCCTTTATACATCTAAAGGAGAATGCTTTATTGTAAAAATTGGCCCCTTTTTATACCTTTAATTTTAACCTGGCATCACTGAAAACAAACCAAAACTTAACAGAACTTGACAGAAAGAAGGCACCCATCGGCTGGCTCAGCTGTCATGCTGCTGTCCACGTGTCCTACCATCCAATCAGTTTCCTGCTCATACACTGTCCATGCGTTCCTTCATCGTGGACAGTGTATCCAATCACAATCCCAATTGTGAACACACAGTGTCCATTCACAATCTCACTTCCAGCTGACTCTCTCCTCACTCATAGCCTCTCATCTCTCAACCAACGTCCAACTATCCACCCTGCAGCTGTGCCTTTCCTATGGGGCCTTCTTGTGAGCATAAGCCTTAGCAACTTTAATAATTATAACCCCATATCCTACAGGTAAAGACCAGTGCACAGCAGCTGTGAGAGAGAGAGGACAGAGAGAGAATATGTGAGAGAAACAGCCTGGCAGACAGCCAGGTCAGTGAAGAAGGAAGGGGTCAATATGTTCCAGGCACCAGAGCAGACATTGCCATGCTTTCCCTGGAGAGGACCATGCTGATGGAGACTGTGATCCTGCAGGCCCTGGCAGACCACACTGCAGCAGATATCCACACTGCAGCCTGAGCAGAGCTCCCCTGGCACCAGGTGGTAGTGCCCTGAAGGAAGCTGCATCCTGGGGAAATCCCACCATGGAAAAGGCTCGTGGCAGGAGCTGCAGCCTGTGGGGATCCCATGCTGAAGCAGGTTGCTCCTGGAAGATTGCACCTTGTGGAGAGGATCCCCTGTGCAATCCCCATTCCCTGATCCTCTGCCCTGATCAGTGGGGGAATGGAAGAGTGAAGAGGAAGGGATGGGGGGGAAAGTCTCTGATTATATCCCCATGTCTCTTATTGATTGGAATTCAAATTCAGTTATTTTGCCCATGTTGAAGGAATCCCTACAAGGCAAGGCAAAGACAGTGAGAGCACTGTCAGGCCTGCAGTCCACCCACAATGTGGGCAAGGACAACAGATAAGCTCCATGAGAACAATTAGGGACAGCCACAAGTCCAGGGATTGCCAGTCATATCCAGAGTGATAAGACATCCCCAGGATCAAGCCAGTAATTCCAATCTGCAGGCCAGGATCGGTATCTAAGTAAGCTAAGCAGGTGGAAAGGCAAAACTGCAGCACAGCTCAAGGAAAGACCAAGGTTGACCATCAAGCTTGGAAGCAGCTCCTGAATGTAGAGGGGTCCAAGCCTCACTGAGGCCTCACTCAACAATTTTCTAAAAGGCCAGTCAGGTGGACTGTGGAAGTTGGCTCTGAAACAGGGCAGCCAAACCCCCCAAAATAAGGCCTTAATTTCACCAGAAAGTCCATTCACAGCTTTTTGTCTTCCCCTGTCCCCACATACACAGAAAAGCAGTACAGCCTAGCACACAGGCTTTAAATCCTGCAGTGTTGGGCACTGAAAATTGACTCAATTGCATGTTGTTTTGAATTTCAATAATGAAAATTCTAGGTGTGCTTATAGGAATGCAAATCAGAGAAGGATCCTCTCATGTAGATATTTGCATTTCTTGCCTTGAGCTAAGGACTCTAATCAGACTACTGGGGTTTTTTTGGAAAAGACTGTGCTTTTGAAAATAAATGTATTCTTCTGTCTTTCTCTGATTTCCTTACTGATTATAATTTTCATCATTAAAATACAGAAACCCAGAAGAGTGCCTTTACCAGAAAAGGGCTTTGTTTCTAATGCTGGCCTCATTGTTTTATGTTACATGTGGGCAGTTCCCTAGAAAATTTTGTGGGTTTTTTTTCCTGGATGCTCAATGGAAGGAGGTACAGGACAAGATGATTTGCATGATGTCCTTCTGGCAGTGTTAGAGGAGGATGAGCTTTGAATTTTATTTGTTTCCTGATTTGATTCACTGTACCAGAATTGAATCGAGCTGCAAGAGGGTCTGAGTAGCATTGGTGTGTATGCAAATAGTACATGTTTTGGAAGGGTCTGAGTCCATGACTTTAAAATTTTCATCAGGTTGGTATATGGTTAGTTAAGATGTGGGAATCAAATTAATTTCCATCTTATGGACAAACACACAAAAAGAGAAAAATGCCTACTTTCAAACAAGATGTGTGACAACAGAGGATCACAACTGCTATAATTCTCATTTTTTTTTTAGTACAGAGGCTGTTATTTTGTTTCTCAGAACAAATTTTTGTCAAATTTATTTATTAACTTATTCAGTAAAACACAGGGATTTAGTAGATGGTGTATATAATGCATGTTAAAGATATTTTTATTCGTGTGATAATAATTAGCTAGGTGGTATATTACAGAGAGGAACATCTAGCAGGAAACTGGCCCTATGAGGTACCTTCCAGTATCTTTGTCAGAGTTCCCTCTTAGATCCCCAAATTCATGTGAGTAAACTGGTAACTATTTAATTTAATTTTATGGAAAGGAAGCTTTGGAGGGAAGATGTATTTAAAGAAGTGGGAAAATAGCACATGCTTTTGACTCTGGTGTGCATGAGGAATGTGAAATAATGGCGCGCAAACCAAACTGTGTGGTTGCAGCTGTTCAGGGTGTCCCTGCTGAGCAGCCGTGTGCCCCCGAGCTCAGCCAGGAGCAGGGCAGCACACACGGATTGTGGGTCGAGCACAGCCCAGGTGTTTTGCTTGTTGGTGTGGTCTGGGAGCTCTGAGGTTTGTTCCTGAAGGCTGGTGAGGGGAGAGCAGGGAAGGGCAGAGGATGGACCAGCCCTCCCAACACAGGTGTCTCATGGT